CCYKSCCMWKGSMRGGGGKTTGGAACTGGATGGTCTTTAAGGTCCCTTCCAACCCAAAACATTCTGTGATTCTRTGATTATGAAGAGCACTATAAAAGGGAGCTGCCTATYACTTCACAGACCTCTACCCCAGACCAAAATCTGTGTTTTCCAAATGTTCACGGCCTGATTTCGCACCAGCCCCCACAGGAAACTTGTCATGGTACACACCAAACACCCAAATGAAGCCCCCAAGCAGCAAAAAGCCATGTGTTTTAAACAGACAAGCAGACAAACACGCATTACTCATAAAGTCATGTTTAGCAGCATTCCAAGAGAAACCTATTTCAAGGTGGCTTCTTTTTTTTTTTTGTTTTTAACAAATGTGCTTTGTCTTGCATTCAAATTAATCTTGTTAGAGCTTCATCTTTCTTGCCTCACTGCTCTCACACTTGCTTACAAAGAGTTAGGAGGCATTCACCTACTCATATCATATGACACTATGGAAAAAAAATATATATGCAAAGTTCTGGAGACTGCCACTTTCACAATAAATGCCTCTGGTGGCATTTTGCAGTCTGCATCACGTGAAGTGTAAGGGGTTTGCCTTACAGATACAGCACAGATTCCTTCCAAAAGTACACACCCATAGCTTTTGTATGTCTTTCTAAGCTCTAATACCCTCTTTTAGCTCATAATTGAATTTTTGTTCAGCTCTGTTCTTGCAAAAGGTCATCAGATCCACTGTTGGAAAGATGGAGACTGATATGTCCTCTTTTGGGGAGGTGGTTTCATCAGTAAATTTCCACCTATGGCACAAACACTAAGCCTGAAATGAYTTTAAGTTCCAGAGACAGGAAGAACACTTTTGCTTCCATACAGAATGTGGGGCTTAGCACATAATGAGGGCTGATTTCTTCCAAGGAATGCCTAAAGGTGGAAAGGGACCACAAGCAATTTTCTCTGGAAGCTGTTTGTGTGGAGTGATGGCCTGAAAGCCACCAGGACAGCCCCACTGCTGTGGCATCCCACTGCMATCCGGGGAGGACAGGCCAAGCCCAGTCCATGATATAAACCAAAACAAGGGAAAAGAGGAACCATCCCCTGAGCACCCCTGACCCAAAATATGGCACTTTCTGAAAAGGAAGGACTTGTCCTGCCCTCCACAGGAGAATTCCAGCAACTGGTGTAGACTCAGAGTCCCTGAGTGGTTTGGGTTGGGAGRGACCTTAGAGGTCACCCAGTTCCTACCCCCTGCCATGAGCAGGGACATCTTGCATAGCCCAGGCTGCTCAAAGCACAGGGACATCCTGATTTCTTTTCCTCTTGTTCTGTCTCTGATCCCCTGGGAGACCTGAGCAACCTCTCCAGTTAAGAAGTCCAGTGACACTTARAGGTTTCTGATTTGACTAAAAAAAATTCTGTAGAAGAGGAACTGCTCTGGGAAGCAAATCTTCTCCATCTGTTTGAGGAAGGAGTGGAGCAGAGCCACGTTTCCCTGGGACAACAAAAATATTTCTAGTAATTTCCCAGTCAYGCTCTACCATTTTGAGGAGAGAAAMCCRTTGCCACTRCAGGTRTCTTTATAGGGCATTGTTTCTGCTCAGAAACACTTCACTGAAAACAGGAAACCAGATCTGCCCTGTTTTGTGTCTTCTGTGTCCCCCACCTGAGGATGGCAGCAGGAAGTTCYCACATTCCCAATCAAATGGGATCCACCTTGGACGTGTAAGTCTGGGTGAAGAGGGAGAGGAGGGAAGGGAGAGGCTAGACAAGGGCTGAGACAAATCCATCTTCTTGTTGAGACACGAATTCTTTCAGCCACGAGAGACACACCGCAGCCCTGACGTGCACTCCCCCCCAGGGAAGGGTTAGGGTGAAGAGGGGACACACACACCCACGCTCAGCTGCTCACAGGTTCCCTGCAGAGCCTGTCACCACAAGGAGAGGAGCTGGGGCTAGGCTGCCACCTAGAAAGCACCTCTGGCAGTGGTGGCTGCCCCTCTGACCTGCCCCAGCTTGTCCGCTCTGTGCTGGAGGTGTACTTCACTCTCCCTCCAGCCTGCCTTTCATCCACATTGCACCTGGGTACAGAATCTGGCCCCACAGCATTTAGAGATGCTACTGAGAAACATTGAAGCCAAGAACTTTCTGCTTTCCATAAACAGTCTGGCCAGAAGGATTGGGACAGGGCCCTTCCAGATGAGCATTTCTGATTTACTTCTGTCCAAAATGAGCTGTTGGCTCTTTCACAGTGCACAAGGTGCCTCAGAAACTCATTCCTTGGCCAAGTGGAACATGCTACCCAACACACAAGGTTTCAATGCACAAGCATTTGGGGGAAAGGATGGTGAGGACCTTGCAGTCCTCTGTCATCTGCTTTTTGAAAACTTAAATGTTCCCAAACCTGCATACTTTGTAACTATGCTTTTCTTACTCTGAAAACAGATTAACCCAGACTTAAAAGAACAGCTAAACAATAGATTCAAGGGTTCCAAAAGGTTTCGCACCAGTGATCACTCCGTGCCTGCCGGCACAGAGACCACATCTCCTTGTCCAGACCTGGAAACAACATTCTGAGCTGCTACACTTGGCCACAGAGTGACCGATGTCAATGGAGGCCAGCCAGYTCTCCCATCCCTTTGGAGATGGCAAATCCCTCTTCCTCCATGGGGCTGCRTCCAAAGAAGGTCCAGGGAACAGCACTTCTCCACCTGAGGGATGCATCCTGCAGCAGTGATGCTGAAGGGCTGCCTCTTTTTGGTATCTTGACCTTTTAGCCCTTTCTACATAAAGAGATAAAAGGTTTTCTGATATTGGTATTAACATCATGTTCATATCAATCTCTGTTACAAATAGTATTAATCTCTGTCAATGATTAGGAAAACAGACCTTCCTTTCCCCTTAAACAGAGCTTTTACACCAAAATAACTTCTCAGACTCCAGTGCAAAGGCAAGGTCTTGCCAGACTGTGAACAGTAGGCATGATCTTTTGTGAGTATCAAAGCCACCGGAGCACCGCATATTGCATTCAATTACAACTATAAAAACTTAGAAAAGGTGCCATAATTCTGGAAACCTTTCTTCCCAGTCTTTACAGTCACTCCTGAAGCTATAAACTGATGACATACACACTTCTCCTGTTTCTACTGGCAATAATCACAGTGGATTTATCAACTAAAAGTTTAGTTGTAAAGATTTCCTGCAGTGAACCAGTTTCCCAGTACAGCTTCCTTAAAGGGCAAAAATGTTTCCCCTTAACTAGGGAAAAAGCGCAGCACCAACTCAATCTTTGGTTTCAAGCCCTATAGCAAAACTCTCAGCTTTGCTTCAAAATAACACTGCCCTAGAGCTGAGCAAAGCTATGCATCCCTTCTGCATACCTTTGCATCCCTGACTGCCCCGAGCTTTTACACTGTCATTTATCAATGAAGCAATTACATCTGAGTTAATAACCGCTTAGCAAAACCAGCAAAGGAACATTAATTAAAACAAAASGACGCCAAGGTTTGTTCTTCTCCACCGACCGTTGCATGGTTGGCAAAACCATAAAAAAGAGGAATGTCACGACAGTCGGAAAATAAATCGGCAAGAAAAAATCGCCTGCATTCTTCTTGTGTCAAATCCACACGCACTACTCTTCTGACGGGGGAGAAAAGGCAGGTAGTGACAGCACGAGAGGCCAAACGGGACACTTGGGCACCACGTATAATCTCAGCCAGTGGGTTTTTGGGATGAAAAGATCCCACTTCCACAGGTGCGCACAAGCACCCGCCGGGGGACACGGGGACACCTGCCATGAGCCCGCGGGGGAGCCGCCACTGTCGGGGTCCCCGCCGTCCCCCCGGCCCCGCTCTGCGCACCCCGACCCTCGCTCCCGCCCGCCCCGGAGACCCCCAGAACCCCCGAGCGACACAGGGGACACCGGGGAGGTGTCAGGGTGGGGGTCAGCGGGAGCCTGACCGTCCAGCGCCAGCATGGATGGGAAGTCCTTGCAGTTGGAGACGCCGGTGGAGTCGGTCACGCATGTTTTCCAGAGGTTGGCCCAAAAGGTGGCGGTGGTGATGACCGTGCCGTCGATGGTGGACACCTTCCAGTAGTCGGTGGGCAGCGTGGAGGAGACCAGCACCCATCCTGAGATGGTGAGCAGGAAGGCGATGATCTCCGCCGACGTGCTCGCCATGGGCCCGGCAGCAGGCGGCGGGCGGCAGCGGGCGGGCGGCGCGGAGCCGCGGCGGATCCCGGCGGAGCCCGGCGGGCGGGAGGAGCGGAGCGGAGCCGAGCGGGGCGGGGCGGGGGCGGCAGCGCAGCCCAATGAGCACCGATAGCTGCGGGCAGAGCCCCGGACCGCCCCCGCCCCGCCCGGCACCGGCACGGCCCGGGAGCCCAGAGGGGAACCCAGAGCGGAGCCCGCACGGCCCGGCGGGACGATCCCGGGGGGCGATAGGAACCGGAGCCACAAACAAACAGCAGCGCAGCGACCCGCGATTTGGGGCTGGATAGACCTTCCCCTGCAGGCGGGGTGCGGGGKTCGGGAGAGGGTGGCACAGAGGGACAGGAGCGTCCTTAGCGGCTCCTCCGTATCTGCAGGTTTGCTTCTCTTTCCGTATGAGAGATCACCCCTCAGCCTCCTTTTCTCCAAACTAGACCAGCCCAGAGTACTCAGCCACTCCTCACAGAGCACGATTTCCAGCTSTYCTCTGGATGCATTCAAAGACCTCAGCATCCCTCTTGAGTGACCACTCACCAGCCAGAYATGCACCCACCGCGCYCRCCACCCTTCCCTCAAAGCCACCCTCCTGGCTTTGAGGAATGCTTGTAGGATACACGTGTGCCGACAGTGAGCGTTCCTTATGCCTACAGGGACGTTTTGAAACGCATAGTATGGTTTTTTAATCCTCTGAATTCCAGTTGGCCCCCGGTATTATCCAGCCACAGGTGATGCAGCGTTTGATACCTATTTTTGCCATGTGAGGTGATCAACTTGGGATTTTCTGCCTCAGTTTTAGTGCATTGGTATTCGAGCCTGCAGCTCACAGGTGGAGAGTTATCCACAGTGGTTTCTCCTCTTGTTTGAAGCTGTTTACTTTCCACATCAATAGTATATTTGCCATTGATGTGGAAAGTACACTGCCGGTCTTTACTTTCCTCCTATTTATTTCAAAACTATTGTTACATTTTCTAAACCTTTTTGCCAGATGGGCAATCACTGGAGGATAAGAAGCCACATTTGCATCATTTGCTCTTTGGTTTTGCCGTGTGGACACAAACCCGGATGTAATCACCTTGCAGACACATATTTAAAAAAAAAAAAAAAAAAAAAAAAAAGACCTCAGAGTTAGGTGTACCCTTGGATGTGTGTCAGATCTCAGTGGGAATTTGGTACTTGTTGATCTGTTAATGCTCCAGCAGGATAAAAGGGGGTCCACAGACGCATTTAGTGACGCAGTAGCCCTCTGCCTGCTCTCTCCCTCCTTGGTACCCTCTGACTCGCAGGTGACGCACAGCGGCACTGGCAGGGAAGAGGGAGAGGGGAAAGCAGGCAGGAGGCTTGTTTGCACATCAGAATTGGGCATGGAGCATGCTACAGCTCTGTTCAACCTCTCTGCCAAAAATGCCTTCCTCTGTCCCCAGGAGGAAAGAGAAACAGTGTCACGAAGTAAGTGAGCCACCCTCCAGTGTGGTGTCGGGCTGTAGCCAGAGCCTGCTTTGGAACACTGGAATGACCATAGATCCAAGTCCCATCTCCATGGTGTTATTTATAATCTAGTTATCATAGGGCATGGCCRCMGAAAGGAAAAAGAAATATTTWWAAAAATATTTTYCCCCMATCATAACACTTTGAGATCTTGCAGACTGGAATTATGTTGGTGGTGGCAAAGCAGACGAATCCAAGCTATCAGCTGGGATCTAATCAAGTCTGAGGTAGGAGACTTGAGTCCAAACCTGGGTCATCATGTTTTCCTGACATGGGGAGCTCACCTATTCTTTTGCTGACAACACTGCTTTGGTTGGTGAATCCAGGGAGTRGCATTTGGGCAAATTTTGGCCAGGGCCCATCAGAACTCTTTAGTTTGYTTCCATGCAATAACCAGAAGGCTGGAGTGAGTGTTGAAGGACAGGAACAGATCCAGGATATCTCTAGGCCAGAGTCTGAGCCCCTGAGTCTGGGAAAGAGAGGAAGAAGAAGATGATCTCCCTGAAGAGCGTAGACACCCCTTTCCAAAGGGCCAGCAGAAGTGCCAAGCTGGCAAGTGACCCTGCTGAGGGTGGGTGGTCCTGCTGAAGCTGCTGTGGGCTCTTGCTGTGATGTCCCAAAAGCATTTGTGCTGCCCCAGACCACGCTGCTTTCAGCAGAGCTGGGCTTTGCTGCCATGTGCAGTGTGGATCCACATTTCTCTGACTGAATCTGCCAAAGACTTCAGGGGGAGCCCATGAAGGTGACCTAGGACAGATGAAGCTAATTCCACCTCAAAATCACTCTCTGCCTGTCCACAAGAATCCTTCAAGCAAGGCTAATTTATATGTTCATTCCCTTGCAAACTCTTTTATTCAGAACGTTGTAAAGTGGCCTCTGTGTACATGAGAACCAGAATTGCTTCACCTTCAGGGAAAGGCTCCTAACATGTCCTGACACTGCTGCTTTTGAGGATGTTTTACTAGTCCAGTTGTTACCATCTTTGTAATCTAAAATCAGAGCAAGATGTTGAGCTTCTGACCTCATCTTCAGTGATGTAAACCCAAAATGATGCAGTCCACATCTGAGCTTTCACCCAGGCTGAAGWGCAAGGGAAGTTGCAAGAGATACTCTTCCCCTGTGGCAATTTTTTTCATGCTGGCTGGAATCTGCAGGGATAAGACATTGGAAAACATTCTTCTGTGAGCCTGTGTTTCTCCCCCTTGTAATGTTTTCAGCTTCTTTCTCTTGTGCAGCTGCAAATCCCTTTGCCRTGAATTTAACTCACACATCTTCCAATTTTCCAAGACACAATGGTCTCTTTTCTCCCTGTTGTTGTGGTAGGAACTTCAACATCCATATGAAGACATTTCTATATTTCTCTTCAACCTCTGTCTTCCTGCCACCATAGCTCTGGCTTTGGGTTTGCTTATTTGGCTTTCTTACCTATTTATAGCTTATGTAGTAGAGCGAAAGACTTGGCCTTTGCTTTGGTGGGGTTTTTTTGTGGTTTCGTATATTTTTAATTTTTTTTTTTTTGGTTCCTGTGCTTTGGGACAAATTATGACTTGGAAAGTTTTTGAAAGTTCCTCACAGCACTGTAGGACTGATTTCCATTTTCTTCTGTCCATAAGTTCATCAGGTCGATGCAATAGTACAGTTTTGTGCTGGGTCATTTGGCTGAGTTTGGTATTTATTCCCTCAGACTGGTTAAGAAAGATGCTCCTGTCTTTTTTTAAGAAAAACAACCTTTGTGGCTCATTATTTTGCAGCAAGTTTCATTGACTCTTGGGCACAAAAAAGGCATTTTGGAGAGAAATGTTAGTATGTGTATAGAATAGGGTATTTCAGTTGGGAGAAGCCTGTGATGATCACCTATTCCAATTGCCTAACACTGCAGAACTGGCCCAATAATATTGACAGGCTTGGGGCATCAAYCACCKCTCTAGGAGGCCTCTTCCAGGGTTTGACCACTCTCTCTATAGAGAAGTGCTTCCTGATGTCCAGTTGGAACCTTCCCTGGTGCAGCTCTGAACCATTCCCACACATCCTACTGCTGGATCCCAGGKTGAAGARATCAGCATCTCCCTTTCTGTTTTTCCCTCCTCAGGAAGCTGCAAAGAGCAACAAGATCACCACTCAGCCTCCTTTTCTCCAAACTAGACCAGCCCAGAGTACTCAGACATTCCTCACAGAGCACAATTTCCAGCTCTCCTCTGGATGCATTCAAAGACCTCAGCATCCCTCTTGAGTGACCACTCACCAGCCAGATGCAGCCCCATCCCCTGCAGCCCTTTGGACTCTGTCCTTCAGCCAGCACACAGCAAATCCATTCATCCCACAGCTGCACAACTTTTGCAGAAGGACAAAGTGAGGGACAGAATGAAAACCCTGACTGAAATCCAGAAAAACTCCATCYGCCACCTTCCCTTCACCCACTGGGTGGGTGACCTAGTCATAGAAGGATATGAAATTAGTTAAACAGGATCTTCCCTTTGTRAGCCCATGTTGACTGTGCCTGGGGATTGCATTGTTCTTTCAATGCCTTTCAACAGTACCCCAGTGTGATCTTCTCTGTAACTTTTCCAGGAACTGAAGTTGGAATAAGAGGTCTGTAGTTCTCTCGGTCTCCTCTCAYATCCTTCTTGCAGATTGGAGTAACACTGGCTAGCTTCCAGTCAGCAGGGACCCCTCCAGGCTACCAAGATTTTATAACTACATACATTTTACAAATCAGGATGGAATGTTATTAAATCGTTGAATTTTTATAATATACCAACTTTTATTGTATTGCCATGTACTGAAGAACCCTTCAGAGAGGGTTTTGCTCTCAAATCTGAAATACAGGATATTATTTTAGCTTTTGCAGGATCAAAATCACAAGTAATAATTATTGCCTCATAAGTTAAACACCAGATGACAACAGCATTTGTTCTGCAGCCAGGATAAGCAGGCTAGGGTCGTCATGCCTTTGTCCTGGAGTAATTTTTCTTGTAATTTTACCATGCATAGGTTGGGCAACTTGAGACTCTTTCCTGGCTCTGCCATGCTATGACTTCCAGGGTGCCTTGAGCACTTGTGCAAAAGCAAAAAGCCCCAACTTTATTTTTCTTAGGCTGAAGGACAACTTCCTTGTTTGCTAGGGTTTCCCTGAGAATCTGAATACTGAAAAAGTAAGGCAGAAGTGTGGGGAACATAGAGAGGCTGGTGAGAATGCCATCACCCTGGCAAGGCGGGGTCTGTTGGCAGTGCTGGGTCTGGGGAGGACACCCCAAACTGGCGGGCATGTTAGAGGAGATTATCACAAATGTAAGCGAGGAGCTCTGCATTGTGCAGAACAAAGTGCCGCCTGAAAAATGAGCAACCAGATCCTCTTCCTCAACAGAGAGTAAACAGAGGAATGTTTCTGTCTCACCTACAAAAAAAAACAACCCATCAGATTGAGAACATCAGTTAATAATCACCAGTCCTTGCTGGGGTTCCGTTGTTGTTTTTCTTAAGTGATGAGAAAAGGAGTTAAATGAAATTACTGCACGTCTTTTGTAAACTGCCAGGGCAAGAATGATTTTTA